ATGCTGAAAAACACATTTAGACATCACATTTTAAACTAGATATTTTTTCTGGAATGATTACTGCTACTCTGTAAGCTCTTAACAGTTATGCTTTTGTTTTGTCTAATGTATATACTTGGACAAAAAGAATTCATAGCCTTTGGTCTGTTTCTGTTTAAGTAACATTCTTCCCATGTGCCTATGACTTTATTGGTGTCCATTATGTGTGATATATGGTAGAATAATTCCTTTTAGTTTTTCTGGTTAGTTTCCATGTTCCTGATGTTACCTCAAAATATGGAATTGATAATTTGAGAATGAGTTCGGTAAGAAACATGCGATGACTTGAGTTGATGAAATCTCTTAAGAGAACTTGCGGTTATGGTATCTGGTAGCTTCTGTTATTAATATACATTTCAAATAGTTGGTCTACCAGTCAAGTTTTTGGCTGTAGCATAGTAGTACAGATAAGATTTTATAAAAAAGAAATAAATTTTTGCCCAATCCCAGGCATTGTATTTAATAAGGTATTGGTAATGTGCCAAATTATCAGCTGGTAAATTTTTCAGCAGCTAGTAGGTCCTAGACATACCTGGCTTATATCAGAAGTAAGTCAGTCTTCTCCAGGGCTACTGACTAGACAGAAAAGTCAAGAAACGTCTTTGAAAAAGACAGTGTCAAACTGCATTTGTTGTGCTGTCGAGAAAACAGCAGAGCTGCTGTCATCAAGGATCAAGCTTGAATTGAGGGCATCTTTATTTTTATCATTTGTGTTTAGAGCTGTTACAGCCATTAATTTGTAGCTCTGGAAATGTTTTTTTTTAAAAAATCCTAATTAAAAATGGGCAACTGAAAAATTAGACATATTTATCTCTTAATATTACAGACAATTAATTCATCTAAATTGTACTTGGTTGTTCTTATTTAATAATATAAAAGGGGATTTATTGCTTTGCTCTTCTTGCTGGAATATAGCACTGGCCAAAAGTTTTTTTCCCATTCTATATTATGTTTGTATGATGAATGTTACGGTTGTTTTCCAAAATGATAAATGAGAGAAAGATGCCAGCAGCCCTGAAGGTATTGTTTTATAGTAATTGAGATTTATAACACACTTTATCCATATATATGCAGAATTATGATTGAAAGTACCTTACAAAACAAGGTTAAATGATACTTAGTTAAACTAGTAAAGTAATTCTTACTTGGTACTCTAAGTATTAAGAGTCTTTCTTCACAGTTGGTTTCTTTTACAATTAATACACTGCAGGATATAGATAGATAGATAGATAGATAGATAGATAGATAGATAGATAGATAGATAGATAGATAGATAGATAGATCTGCATGTTTTTCCTAGAATTATATTACCTCCATGTTTATATAGAACACAATTATGTTCCCAAGATCCAGATGACAGCCAGGAAGATATTTTTCCCAACCTGGGAAACATCCGGATATCTGGAATTTCAACTCCCAGGATTCTTACCCAGATTGCATATAATGGTACAGGAATTGTAGGAATTGATGTCCACACTACTAGAGGGTGCCCAGTTTATTCTATGGTGTTGCAGTTGATCTCTCCCTTTAGATGAGTAGTCAAAACTGGTTTCTATTAGTTGCCATCGGTATTAAATGTGAGTTGAAAGGCAGCCTATGAATCAATAAATATACCAGTGTTAGTACAACCTCTGTTTTCTCTGCCACCCTCCTCCCCTTTTTCAATGAAATGATGAACTGCATGAAATTGCTGCAGATCATCTTAGAGCAACTTGGAGACAATGCTGTTCATGGTTCATCACACTTAAGTCGAAGATAATTGTATCTACCATTTGTGTAAAACAGACCCTGAAGATCATGTGATAAGAGGCAGTTTAAGGCTGAGTCAAACAATCTACATGAAGAGCTATTGTTGCTTTTCATTTATAATTACTTGTAATCTATCATTGTTGTTCTGGTTTTGCTTTCAATCTTCCAATGCTTTTATAAAAGCTCTACTTGCTAGCAACTTATGAGCTGCATTTTATTCTGCTTTCTTTGCCTATTTGAATGTTCCTATATCCCCCACTTATATCCTTTTTGGATTTCAGTGTGGTGCATAATAATAATAGTAAAGAAATCATACTGAAAGTGAATATCAAACAAAGACTAAAATCCATAATAATAAACTTCCAATATATTTAACTTACCCAGATAAATAAAATTACTTTTGCCTGACTATGAAGTTTATACTATCACTCTCCCGCATATATCTCTGAAGAAAAAATTCTAAGACTAAGATATTCTCAGTGGGAAAAAAAGAGAATTGTGTTTCCAAGTAGTATTCCTATCCACCTTTGGTTACAAGCCAAACCCAAGGTGAAAATCCTTGATGGTGGCAAAGCCATTTATTTCTGTGTTATTACTGTCTAGTTTCTATTTAAGCCACCTGCTTCCTGGGTTCATTTTCTGCCCCTCTACTTTTGCCTTTTGTCTCTTTGTTTTCGCTTTCATCTTTTTTCCTAGGAGTTTCTTTTTTTGCTTGCTTTCCTGGGCCCTTTTTTCAAACTCATCATATTGTGGTAACAATTGTGTTTGATATGAATTTCTATGTAGCTTGGTTGTGTATTGGGATTTGTGGAACTGCCTAAATTTGGGTTATGTGCATCTAAAGCCACTACCAAAGCAGTAAAAGATTTCAACTTTAAAAATTTGTCAGATGACAGATGGTTAAAGTGTCACATTTAGTCTACTACAACGAAAAATTATACTGCAGTTTAATTTTTACCCTTACAATGATGTCTTGTTATAATTTTAGTTCTATCTAACATCTTAAATAAACTAAAATTAATTAGTTCTTCATATTATTTTAGTAATGCCATGTAGCCAATCAATCTGAATTTCTTGAATGTCACTTGTATTTGTCCTACCTCACCCTTGAGGACCAAACATTAATGAGAAATTTCTCTTCCAATAAAAGTGTTTTTTTTTAAGGGAAGACTGTTCATATGTTTAATTCATTATTAAATGTGGCTAAATGTTTAATTTTTGTGCAATTAGAAAGATATCAGTGTAACTGGGCACAGAATATTGATTTTTGTAACTTAAGAATATCCATATGGAGGCTGATCAAGTTATATTATGGGACCCCTGTAATTCTCGACTCCAAGTGTTCTTATGTAGTGGTAATACTATTAAAGAACAGATTTAGTTGATGATATATTCTGGTATTCTCATCCATCTCAAGAAGAATTAATCTTTTTTACTCTTTCTTATTATGCAAATACTCATTTTATAGTCACCTGAATGTATATGTAAATGTTATATAAAGAAATAGCATAAATCATTAGTCACCTCCTCTAAGGAAACTGACCTCTCAGTAAAAACCCTTGAAAATGATGTGTGTATGAGAGAAAGACATCACAATATATCATACAAGATAGAAGAGAAAGAGCAGTGAGTAATTGGACTATAATTTAACATGATCCACAGTTTTAATAATCTGTTCACCAATCCTAACCATTTCAAGTTTGTGATTCCAGTGTCAATACAAACCAGAGCTGTAACTAGATTTATCCACGTTACAGATTGTATTGTTTGGTGGTGATTATCAATAGTGTAATCAAACTGTAGATAGGTAGACATGGGCCATATATCCATCACAGAATTAGATGTGCTTTAAATGTGAGTTTCAAAATAAAAGAGGGGGAGGATAGAAATCCCAGTTCAAGTAAGAGACTATGCCCACTAAAATGAATGGCTGCAAAATGTTGCAATCTTAAATGTATCTGTTAAGATTTATGTCCGAATAGACAAACTGTGACTTACAGCCAAACAGAGAGGCATAAAATAGATTGTTTCAAGATATTTCTTCTAAATGTGGGAAACAGCACATAAACAAAGGAATAAATAAGATTGCCCTGTAAGATTGAAATCTTACATATATTTCTTTAGAGGAAAGTCTTATTTGCTGGAACTTATTTCAAGGCAGATATCTACGGAATTGCACTACAAATGAATATAATTCTTTTGGATTATAATTATAATCTTTATAAAGTGTAGTTTCATGTTTGATTTCATATATGCAGTTTTTTTAAAAAAAGACAGACATTTAAACTAGCCAACAATAAACATTTTCACATATTAAGTAACTCTTGCTTCTTTACCCGCAATGTTATCTACAAGTTTTTAAGTAACATGTCAGAGTAATTTCATCTGGTCTGGTTTTTTTGAGTTTTTTTATTTTATTTTTTGTATACTCAGTGCCATATAGGAAGTTCTTGATGTACAAGAGTTCATTTAGTGATCATTCAATGTAACAGCGGCACTGAAAAAAATGACTTATGACCGTTTCTCATACTTAGGACCATCACAGCATCCCTATAGTCACATGATCAAAATTCAGATGCTTGGCAACTGACTCATATCTATGATGGTTGGAGTGTGCCAGGGTCAAGTGATCATCTTGTGCAACCTGCTGATAAACAAATTCAATGGGGAAGCCAGATTCACTTAACAATCATGTTACTAACAACTGAACTGCAGTGATTCACTTAACAGCTGTGGTAAGAAAGATCATAAAATAGGGCAAAACTCAAATGTTTCACTTAGCAACAGAAATTTTGGGCTCAGTTGTGGTTGTAAGTCGAGGACTAGCTGTACATGAGCTGTATTTCAGGAAATATAAAAGCAGCTGTCCATTGGAGTCATTTTGAAGAACTACCAAAATTCTTTGTATTCTGCTAATAATGGCTAAGTCTTATTTTGTTTTGCTTGAAACATTGCAATATGTTTATATCACTGTGGTTTGTTAGTGAATTTAAAACAAGCCCTACAGCAAGAAAAATGTAATCATAAATTTAAATTATGCTTGTTCAATAATAAACATCCCCCCACAGGTGTTGTGAAAATAATATACATTTGCATTTTTATTTTACACAGTTCCTTGAGCATCACTCTTGCATGGGGCTGTCTACATAACGTATAATTGGTAATTAAAACATATTATGCAATTACAGAGAAATATTTTATTGTTTCAACAGAGCAAAGATGCTGTGCCTTCAAAGTTGGACCTCACATCTCACAAATTATTCAAAACCACTTCAAAGGATGTTATGTGAAGCCAGTGCTAAACTACCAGCGTTAACGTTGTTCACCAAGGTAAATACTAATTGATCAAGTAAACCAAATAGGATGGCCTCAAATGGAAATTTAAAACAATAATATTCAAATTGAATGCAAATCTTGGGAGTTCTGGCTCATTGTTTTACCATAGAGCTTAACCTTCACCATTTTAAGATGTGCAGGCTTTAACTCTTAGAATTCCCTAACCAGCATGCTGACTAGGGAATTCTGGGAGTTAAAGTCCACATTCTTAAGATGACTAAGGTTGAGAAACACTTAGAGAGAATCCTGCAGCCACAGCTTAGAAGAATAAAAATAGGAGAATGTAGCTGTTTTCTGGCAGTAATAAGATTTATTGCATGTACTTTCAACAATACTAGGCTTATATCAGAAGCAGCCAAACTGGGGTTCTCAAAATATTTTTGGACATCAGTTTCCATCACTACAGATTTGCCTATGCTTGCAAAAACTAACGGGAGCTGAGATTGAGCAATATACCTGAAAGGGTCCTCATATCCATTTCATGCCTATCTGGTCATATGAAGTTGCTGTAAAATAGCCCATTATACAAAACATGGTATAAAAGTTTGATTGATTATAGCATTCCAAGATTTCAAGGATCTTATTCAATTGCTACTCCATATTTCCAGTTTGACTGAGCCTGGGTTCTTCAGTATAAGGTCAGTCTGTCCAGTATAGGGGGCATAGCTCTAGTACTGAGTTATGGTTCTTAAAGAAATGGCAAAGTTGTGCTTCAGGTTGATTATTAGGAAATTCAGTAATAGTGTTACCCTTATATTTCTTGATTTCTTTTTTTAAAAAATTAGATTTATCCTCTCAGGAACTGGACCAGCCCAAGATAATTTACCACAAATAAATTTATTTCTCCCTGAGGAAAAGGATATCATATTGTGTTTCCCTCCTTTGCCTATTGAAGCCAATGGACTGATAGCTTAATGTAATATCAGCATTGTCCAGGAGATGCAATGGTTTACTATATCTGGCAGTAACAGCTAATTTATAAGATGTGGGATAGGTCTTGTGGACCACCAAGTATAGGTTCCAAGACCAGAGAGTAGCTAGCTCAGAAGAAACAACAAATAATGTGCTACTGGATCCTTCATCTATTCTCTTAGACAATTATCTCATTTCCTAATGATAACAACTGGCTCAGCAGCCAAATATGTATCCCACATAATATTGTCAAGTTTGCAAATGATTATGCACTAGGACTGTATTTTAGAGCATGTAGCTGTATGAGTATAGGAATACTTTCTCTGCTTTCTCCCAATAGGCAATCCTGATTGTGGATGATTTGTTGCACTTTCAGTGTTGATTGATCCTGCTGGTGTGTTCATTTCATATCATGAATAAAATTCCAAGGGAACGTTGGGCAGACCACACTTCCGGTTGGCTGTGCTTCTCCTTTCTTGGAAATGGAATGATGCAAACCTTATAGTTCCTGCCCTTCAGCCACTGTGGTCCCTTGATCTTAGCAACCTCCCTCAAAATTTACATATAACTCATAGCTTAAGTTTGATTTGAAGGATTGCAGACTTTGCTAATGCATAAAGATTGGAGGTTGAAGCATTCTGGGTATTAGCTGAACAGCTACAACAGAAGGCAGATTTTACATGAAATACCAAATAGATACTCACAAAGTCTAGCACCTAGTTAGCTACATCCAATTGAGTAGAGCATGTGCTCTCGGTATGTTTGCCTGGGAAGAAATGGGAAATGGAAGTGATCATAGATTACCAACAGAGACAAAGGTGAAGAAGGGCACAAAGTAAATCTTTAGTTATCTAGACATCACTGCCCCCTTGTGCCATTGGATTTATACCTCCCACAATGAAGAAATATATTGTTTATAGTATTAGTTAATCACCATGGATAACAGAATTAATATCTCAATTCAGTTCATTTAAATGTTTCTGTTCAGAAGTAAGAAGGGGAAGAAATATACAAAATGTAATTGGATTTCAGTCTGTTTTTATTTAGCTGATGTGATTCAGACAAGTCGAGCTAAATTTTTATTTTTACATGTGATTCTAATATAACAAAGTTGTTTCAGTGCTAGTTATCTGTGTGGCCTATACTCTAAATAGAAAAGAAATGATGAATAATAGTATGATGGGAGAAGGGGTAATTATTAACTATGAAAAATAATGTTTTGCAAAGCCTTAGCTATAACACATAACAGTCTGAAATTAGTCAGCACCAAAGCTTGCTTAGGTGACTCATCAGAGCCAGTCACTGTTTTTCAGCCCAATCTACTTCGCAGAATTGATATTGTAAGAAAAAATAAGATGACAAAGCATTATCTAGTAGATGTGTGATAGAGAAAGAGAGTGGGGAGGGGAAGGAAGGAAGGAAGGAAGGAAGGAAGGAAGATTACATTTTATGCAGGCTAGTTTTGTTAAATAAAACAGTTCTGCACAGAATGTTACACATTGTCCAAAAAGTAGAAAAGCTTAGTTCCTTAGACAGACTAAAATACAGGCTTCTTTTATTAGCTTAATGTAATATTCTCATTTTGGATCCATTCTATCCAGTTCCAATTATGCTTTTAAGTAAACAGAAAAAGTATGCTACAAAGAATGCACAAAAAGAATTGTGGATGCCCAGAAGGTATGTTTGTTCTCTTGCAAAATTGCAGTAGGACAGTATTTGATAGTTCTTTAAAGGGGTATTGCTTTACAGCAGGAGGCTGAGAATTTTATCTCTAAAATTAGTATTCTTGGAGAAGATTTTTCTGCCTATACCAGTGTTCCTGGAATGCAAAATGTTGCATTGACTTAGAATTGTGTGAATAGAGTGGAGATAATGAACCTGACAAAATATCAGTCTAGATTCTTCTGGCACATGCACTTTGTGAAGTTATATGTGGACTGATAATTTCACTTGAGAAAAGCAACTTTTCTTTGTTTTGCACTATGTATTCTCCCATGAGCTGTTCAGAGCATCCAGTGATGGGAAGGTGCTTCAGTCTCTTCTAGGAAGGCTGGGCTTAAACTTGAGGACGCTCCTCCTCCTCCACGAGACTCCTCCTTAGCGTCCCCAGTTTTAACTCAGCCTTTTTTCAGACAGGTTGTGTTATTGGTTTCCTGGTCGGAACAGAACACTGGCAATTTAGCTGATTTAGCTGATTTATTTTTCAGGTCAGGTATCATAGTTCCTGTCACCAACTACCCCCACCACCCCTGGGAACCTTCAAAAGTCATTTCACTCAAGTTTTACGAGTGTTCCAGCCTCCTGAGGCTAAAGCCTCATAAACGTGGAGGCTTATCTTTCCGATCTGCCCTGAGGCTAAAAGCCTCTCGGTTTCAGAGCCGCTGCCTTAAACTTCTCAACAACGAGGCTTATTTCTCTGATCTCCCAGCCGGCTGAGTAAACGCTCTGTCTCTTCGAGGCTCGAAGCCTCAATTTAAACAGTGCAGCCTTTTTTTCCTTTTATCGAGGCTCAAAGCCTTTTTTCCTTTTATTACGAGGCTTTACCCGCAGAACACCTCAGGGCAGGGAATTAGCCCCTGCGCCTTCCCGCTGAGGGTTTTGCTTTTAGCAGGCCAGGCAGTGACAGCTGCTTTCATTTTCATTCTGCCATGAGGCAGCCACCATTTTAAAAGCCACATGGTTACATTTGCTGAGCAATTGTTACTGTCTGTGAGGCAAGTTACTCAACAAGGTTTCCCTTCTTGGGGACCTGGGAAGGGGGGTCCCTACCACCAGTTCACTGGATGATAGAGGACTTGAACTGCTGGATTCCACAGACAATAAGTGCAGCTAAACTGATCTAATTATCAGTTACAGACCTCTGTGCCCTCATATAGGTGCCGGGTCTGGAGTGGGGTGTTCTGGTCTCCATATTTGATATTACAAGTACTTTATTAAAAAATTGACTTGATTGACTTAGATTCTACAAATATTTAAGTCGTTAATATATATGTGTGTGTGTGTGTGTGTGCGTGCGCGTGTGTATATATATGTATATATAGAGATAGATAGATAGATAGATAGATAGATAGATAGATAGATAGATAACAAAGCAAAACAGAACAAGGAGACAGCATTTGCTAAAGGCATTGGGGAACTATTTCTTCCAGGATCCCCTGCCCCTTAAGGGAGCAGGCCCCTAGGTGTTCCAGCCACCTAATTTCATAGCCTCTTTACATTGCCAATCTATCAAAGGCATTACCATGGCCAGCAACTACAACCCCAGATCTAGATTAACTGCTAAAAATAGAGATAAGTCCACGGAGCCCAAAAAGACCTCTAAGGCAGCAGACAAAGATGCACTCACATGCCATCAGACATTAGAAAGGCAGGTGAAAAAACGTACATGAGCAGCTGTACAACCCACCTCTTCACCACTCATCATACCCCTTACCTCACAGGCCCAGAACCCTCCAACCGCCCCTCTCAATTTATCCAGAAGGAGCAGTATATCGATACAATCTCCCCAGGAGAGTCTTTCTAACATTCTCTCCCCAAGGAGGGCCCCAGAGGCAACATTCATGCCAACTGAAGCTGGCCTCAGACAAGAGGAGGAACTTCCGGAGGAAATCCCTGCCAACATGAGGGTGTGGATGGAGCTAACTATCCAGAAGGGCATATCAGCAGGCGTCCAACAGGCTATTCAGGAAGGACGAACACCCTCAACTTCAGTTTGCAGATCTCTTTCTGAACGATCTCTGGGCATCACAGATCCACATCTTCATCAGTACCCCCCCTCCCCAGCAGAACTATCATTTCCCACTGTCAGAGACCCTCAGTACACACAGGATATGGGAGATCAAGGGGATTCAATGGATCCAATGGAGGAGGGGTCAGTACACACCGTTGACCAGGTATTGTCAGAGGTGGATCCGCTAGAAAGGGGGATGTCTGATGATGAAGGCCTCTCACCTGACCTCCCCGTATTTACAGGATTATTCCGCCCACAATTATTTAAACCCCTGCTGTTTAAGGCCAAGAACACCGCACGGCTGGATAATACGGGTACCTCTCCCCCACCAAATACTCCAGGGGAAGCAGAGGTTCTCATATTCTCTCAACCAGTCACTGAGGCAGAGGTTATTTCTGTGCCACACGTTTTCCAATTTAGTGGAAAAACAATGGGCTGCAGCAGTCTCATCCCGCTCCCACAGGACATGATAAAAAATACTATAATTTGACACCCGAGTTCTCTAAATTTCTAAACACTCCAGAAGTGGATGAGCCTATCATTGCACTTGCATCTTCCTCAGCCATCCCAAGTGAAGCTGAAGAGGCTCTCAAGCCTGAGGAAAAGAGGGCAGAACTAGCCCTCCGCAGGGCACACGTCTCGGATGCATGGGCCATCAGAGCGGCCACAGCCGCCTCCTTTTTCACCAGATCATCTCTCAGATGGCTCTGCCACCTGAGAGATATCATTCCAGCCTCAAACATTAGGGCACATCATGATGTGACAAAATTAATTGCTGCTGCAGAGTTTTCAGCAGACGCTACCTTCAGTTTTTAGTTTACCGAAAATTTAAAATGACCACTCTCCAATCCATCTTACTCAGCATCAGAAAAAATGATGTCCTTACCTCCATAGACTTCACGGAAGCTTACTTACATATCCCAATTAGGCCCTCACATTTCAAATTCCTACGTTTCTGTTACAACAACGTCCATTACGAATATATTGCTCTCCCATTTGGCCTAGCTTCAGCTCCCAGAACTTTTACAAAGGTCTTGGCTGCCTTGGCAGCATCACTCAGATGGTACCAACGTGGAGGATCCTATCATCGGTCATATCGCTGTCTCAAGGCCCAGTGCTACACCCAGACCGCCAATGGCTAAACTTAGCCGTATGGAAGTTGAACGGCAACGTCTGAGAGATGAATACCTTTCTACTCAAGTTATTCACACTATTCAGTCGGCTCGATGTCCTTCGACGAACCGAATCTATCAGGCCACCTGGTCTAGCTTCTGCCATTGGTGTCAGAGGGTTCAGATCGCCCCACTTCCCCATCAGTAGTGCAGTTATTAGAATTTTTACAGGAGGACCTAAATAAAGGGTTATCACCTAATACTCTGCGGAGACAGGTGGCGGCCCTGGCTTTGGTCATATCTTGGGATGATCTTACCTCCATATCTCATCATCCTCACATTTGCAGTTTTCTCCACGGTGCCAAGAACTTAAGGCCCCCCGTAGTGCACCGGTATCCAACTTGGGATTTAAATAAGGTACTATTGGCCCTTACTACAGGTCCCTTCAAGCCACTAAGGACCATGACACTTCGATTTCTAACCTACAAAGTAGTTTTCTTGATAGCAATTACATCGGCCCGAAGAATCTCCAAACTAGCTGCATTATCGGTGCGCAAAGACCTCTGCATTTTCCATTTGGATAGAGTGGTTCTCAGACCAGATCCCTCCTTCATTCCAAAAGTTAATTCAGCATTCCATAGAGCTCAAGAGCTGGTGCTCCCAAATTTTTGCTCACGTCCATCACACAGGCTCAAACACCAATGGCACCATAAGAAGGGCCTTACACATCTACATAGAGCGCCCGGCACCCTCCAGAAAGACAGAAGCCCTCTTCGTGTCCTTTCAGCCTAACACCCTGGGGCGTAAGGTTTCACCCTCTATCATAGGTAGATGACTAAGGGCCACCATCGCTAAGCGTATGACTCTCACTTGATACCAATGCCCCAAGGCATTACCGCTCACTCCACCAGGAGTTCAGCCACCACAGCAGCATGGGCAACCCAAGCTACAATAGAGGAGATTTGCCAAGCTGCAACCTGGGCTTCTCCATCTCCACTTATTAGAAATTATAAAATTGATGTATTTGCTTCTGCTAGGCTTCATTTGGTAGGCGAGTTCTGCAGTAAGTTATTTCAGAGCAAGTTAGGTCTGCAACCCAGACGGAGTCCCTCCCTTAGGACAGTGCCAAGCTTTGGTATGTCCCATCACTGTATGCTCTGAACAGCTCATGGGAGATAAAATCATACATTGCAATGTCCTACCTGTCAATGAATACTTCAGCTTCAACCATAACAACACAAGAGCACACAATAGATACAAACTCAAAGTTAACCGCACCAAACTTGATTGCAGGAAATACGACTTCAGCAATAGAGTGGTCAATGTCTGGAATACTCTACCCGACTCTATAGTTTCTTCCCCAAACCCCAAAAACTTTAACCTTAGACTGTCTACTATTGACCTCACCCCTTTCCTAAGAGGTCTGTAGGGGGCGTGCATAAGTGCCTACCGTCCCTGTCCTATTGTTTCTCTTATTCTTTTATTTTTCTTATATGTACCCATTTCATGTATTCACAACTATGTATACACTTATACTTATTATCTTGTAAACAATTGGCAAATCAAATAAATAAATAAAATAAATAAATAAAAAGGCGTTGGTACTTACCTGATATGCCCGTTCTCTGTGAGCTGTAAAGAGCATCCAGCCCCACCCTTTCATTCCATCTGGTAGGGGGTCTGTTCTGGCCAGGGTTATTACATAGGCTTAAGCATATAGGGTATCAATACCTCAGCTTCGCAAAACTGAGGATGCTAAGGAGGAGTCTCATGGAGGAGGAGGAGTGTCCTCAAGTTTAAGCCCAGCCTTCCTAGAAGAGACTGAAGCATCTTCCCATCACTGGATGCTGTTCACAGCTCACAGAGAACGGGAGTATCAGGTAAGTACCAACGCTCTTTTCATGCTGGCTTTGATGTACTGCATGGACAGGGAAGGTTCAGAGTAGGTTAAAATGATCCAAACGCATGCAGCATTGAAAGTGCCTCTGATAAATCTAAATGGCTTCCAGGTGGCAGTAGGGGAAGTGTACCAACAATCTGAAGGTTGGTTTGCCAGGGTGGAACCTGGTTGAATTTTGGAATACAGGGATAAAAAAGCTCTTGATAGGATTGCTTCTAAAGATTGTCTCCCTGAATGCCAGTCTCAGAAGTCCCTTTATTCTCTGAAGAGCCCTTGGAGATAAAGTGCCAGGGGAGATACTTAGAGTGATGCTGGTGCATGGTAAGGAGTAAATCTAACCAAACACAATATTGCGGTGAAGCAGAAATTTTTCCTCTGTCCCCTTTGCATATGTACAGGGCCATCCAAAGGCCTTTTTCAAAGTGACCCAGACTCTTTTAGGGAAGGATAGGTTAATTAATAGTCTTATTAACATAAATAGTCTCTGGTGAGTTCTTAGAAGAGTTATTTGCAGTTAAATTACTTGCATCAGCTCAAAGTTAGAAGCCGGCTGAATAGAAACCAAGAAGTGATAAGAGCAACATATAGTGGTGTTAACCTGGAAAGTGTTTGAACATGTTGATTTTGAAGATTTACATAAACCTTGGCAAGATGAGTTCTGCCATCTGTGGACTTAATTCCTACCCTGTCAGGCTTATATTTGCTTGCAGAAGGAGAATAATCCAGGAAGCTGAATTTTAACCTCACCATGAGAGGAAATCAAGTCCATTAAGGCTATTATGTTCCTTCATCTTGGACTTACATCATCAACAAAAAAATAGTGTTGGCTGCAGGTGAGGTAAAGAAAAAAAATGTCTCTCTTTCCTTACCTCATCCTCCAGAACTACCTTCCATTTTTATTTTATTCTGAGAAAGCCTCAATGGATAGGAACCTAGGGTTTTCTAGATCCTGCTAGCATCATCATTAGCCATGTGGGATGGGACTGCTGAAAGGTGAAGTTTAACACCCATATAGGACTGCAGGTTCCCTACCAATGTGCTTCAAGCTAAAAGCAGATGTATTTAGCATGCATCTTTTTTCCACTGTATATATGCGGGATAAGATCTGTCTTTAAAAACAGTAAGAAGCTGCAGTTAAATTCAGAGCTTGAACTCTGAATTCATTGAACTCAATGAAGTGTGTTTGTATGCACCTTCTGTTACAGGGTGCTATAAGTGAATGCACTAAATATTTGACTTCAACCTTCTCCTCTTGCAGTATGAGAAAGGACACTGGGGGCTGTCAGTATCGGCCCCTTTTCCCACATGAATTAGCTAATTTTAAAATGGTATTGCCTCATTTCATTTATTCTTGCTGTAGAGCAATGATGAATCACTTGTGGGCTCTTTGTGAGTTCTACCCACTGATGTTTGAATTGGCAGAAAACTAGACAACATAATTCTGGCAAGCTGTATTCTGCCATTCTGCCATAGGCACGATGCTGGAAAATAATGCTGTTTTTATTTACAAATGCTGCATTAAAACAATGTATTCCTCTTCTCTTAGCAATTATTACCAGCCAACTGATAACATTGGATAGTTATTAGATCCCTTTGGGACAAGGTTTTGGCAATATATTGAAATAATTGAATCTGTGTTCCAAAGAAGCTTGGTACCATCCAAATTTGGGCTATCTTTGAATACACCTGCACAAACCACTTGTGCCAAAACAGATTATCAAGCTCCTTTTGGATATGGATTTATCACAATTCCAGAGAATCACCAAATGTGTATTGAAAAAAAGAGCTGAGAGGTGTAGGAAAAATTGTGCCATGAACCAATAAAAAACTGGGTATCTCCTTCCTCCTTCATTATGCAGCCCTTCAACTACCATCACTGAGAGCTGCTATTTAAATTATCCAGGTGTTTGAACCAGGAATTGGTTCAGAGGCCTGGCAGGTATAGGGAAGAAGGCATTTTCAAAGAACATAACTTTCCCATTGCCCAGAGCAGAATGACCTTGGAAGCCAGCATTATAAGGACATGACAGGAAAAAAGATTGCCAGGATATATTCCAGGGTTAGGTTATCTATCCTATTTCAGGGTTGCCTTCTGAAATAGGATAGATAATTCTGTCAGTGCTGTCTCTCTCATTCTTCCCCTTTAATCGAGGATACAGAATTCAATGTCAACTGATGCTGAAAAATATTGTCAAAATGGCTTGAGATTAGCATGTTAAGAAGCTTTATGTAGCCTGTGCTACTTTTCATTACTGTCTGCTTTTTTTCTCCCCTTTTTAAGCATCCCTGTCCTTTATGTGAAGAAGCCAAAATGATGCTTGAACCATATAAAGACAAGGTAGGTTAATACAGTCCTTTGCTTAAGCAAAACACCAACACACAACATTTAAAAGAAGGAATCAGAACATGTTTAACTCATCTTAAATTTCTAACCCAGTGTTTGACTGGGGAATTCTGGGAGTTGAAATCCGCACAATATAAAGATGCCAAAGTTGAGAAACTGCTGTTACCACTATGGAACATCAGAAGCAGCAATAGCATCTGGACAAAACACAGTAAATTAGAAATGCTTGAATTGAATAAACTGCCAAGAAATAATCTGATGTAATTTGTTTGTTTGTTTTTAATTCATCAAACATTTTAAAATGGCTTTCTTAAAATTGGATTAATACAAAGTAATAATATGAGAAGCCCAGTTTATTCTATTTGCTTTTATATGATTACCTATCATACCTTTTCAGGGTAAAACAATGTTATACAAAACACAGAAAAGGACTAAAAAAGTACTAGGCCAGGGGTAGGGAAACTTGGCTCTTTTATCACTTATAGACTTCAACTCCCAGAATTCCTGAGTGAGCCATAAAAGGTTCCCCATCCCTGGGCCTACTGGTTTTTTAGTTGTGGGGGAAATTAATTTTTGACTTGAATGGGACTGTTTAATATACAAATTTTTAATATATATAATTTTTAATATATATAATATAATAATATAATTTTTAATATACAAATATACAATGTTTAATATACAAATGGTTTTTCACAACTGAAAAACCAGTAGGCCAGAGATGGGGAACCTTTTATGGCTCACTCAGGAATTCTGGGAGTTGAAGTCCATAAGTGATAAAAGAGCCAAGTTTCCCTACCCCTAGCCTAGGCCAAAGATGTTAAAGGCCCGAGAAAGATGAAAAGGCAGTATAGCAAAAACTAACGCCAATATTTTTCAAAGCTTTCTGTCCCTGCAAATCATCCTTATTTCTGCTATATTCATATGCCACTTCATGCACTACCTTTTGTTCTTTTCTTCCTGTTTTTGAGGATCTCATTAACTTTCCTGGTCTTTCCCTTCCTCTTGACCCATTCATGGTATAGTCTTAGTAGGGAATGCCACAGATTGAATAAGTCTACTAATCTAGTCTGTATCTTCTTACTAAAAGAATAAAAAAGTATTTTTCAACACAGATTATTCCATAATAAACTTTCCATGGGTAAACCAGTCAAAATAATCCAGTGTTGTAGGCACCGAAACAAAGGAGCATTAATTTTTAATCTACACAGGGATTCTGATACTTCCCATGGAATCAAATAGTAGCTTTCAAGTTTAACTCCCAAAAGAGCTCAGTTATGAAGTTATGAAGGTAGGATGAAGTTATGAAGATCCAGTGATGACTATGGCAGTGGGAAAAGTCACATCTTTCCCAATAGATAGTTATACTTTGTGCAATGAAATTATCGTGTTCACAAGTTGAGTCAAGCTGGTCTCCAGAAGTGCTCAAAGCGAATATGTTATTGCTGGACATTATATTTATGCGCCAGCTACCAATTTGCTTTAGGGCATTAGTTCCCATATCTTTTTTCCAAAAACAGCCTTTTCCAGTGAAATCATTTTTCTGTTGCCGCCTTCAAAAAATGTTAATATAAATATAAATGTATAATCCAACACTTCTTATGGGTAAATCATTCTTGTTGAACCCTATAAATAAAATTACCAGCAGACAAATAATGATGGATAAATATGGTGTGATATAAATCTTTTCACCTAGTGGTTAACACAGACATTTATTACAAGCACTCATTATTTTAATAATATGTTGCAAACTTCATGATTTCTGTAAAATACATCAAATTCTTTATACGTTCTGGTTTATAAATCAAGTTTATTCCATTTATAGTTGCAAATAAAAAGATTGGAGACTCTGGGAAAGTGAACTCATATAATTTTCCCCCCAAACATTGTCTCTACTTTCTCTTTAGATTTAACTGACCTTTTTGAAAAAGATGATGATGATGATCTTGGTTGGGAAACCCTACTTCGAAGTTTTAAAAATTATTTTGGAAGCCTCATATACCTTAATTTAGGCTTCTTGGGAGAATATAAATTATATATTAACATATAAATTATATTTATATAATTATAAATAGAAATATACATTTATATATGATACAATGAGCTATTCTGGCTGTATCTCCATTAATCCTTCTCTGGAGCCGTCTTCCTTCTTTTTTTGACATATACCCCTTGCTGGCTTAAGAGATGGTTGGCTTTTAAAAAGGCTGTGCCCAGTGGTGGGATTCAAATTTTTTTACTACTGGTTCTGTGGGTGTGGCTTGATGGGCGTGGCTCGGGTGTGATTCAACCGGTGTAACAACCGGTTCAGTGAGTGCGCGCTTTGCATACATGCGCAGAGGGTTTGCTACTGACCTTATCCTGCAATCCTGCAATCTCCCTGTGTGTTAGACAGCTGACGTGCGGCAATCCATTGTGCTGTGTGAAGCAGCTGAGCTTGAAAACTAGAAAATAAAGGTCAGAATAGAGCCTGGGTGGGCGGGCCCAGCAGCTGATCGTCGGAGTAAACCAGTTCGCTCATAGATGATCCTCGGAGCTACCGGTTTCGCTGAACCAGGCCGAACCGGTAGAATATCACCGACCCTGCCATGTATCTTTTTAATAAATTGCTTTATTGTTGATTTTGTTTGTTTCTAACTGTTCTTAGTATCTTTGGTTTTAATTGTGATAGCACTTCTTATTTTACAAACAAAATCAACAAAAAATCACCAAGAGACTTTAATTGTTATCAATAGTGCTTCATAAGTACTAAAATTGGAAATATTTCACAGTAAAATAATTCAGTGTTATGTATTACAATTCCTACTAAAATAATTGCCTCAAAATACAAATACACAGATAAAGCTATTACTGAAACAAAAGTTGGGGGTGCTATCTTAAATAGCCTGGAAGTTATATTAATTGCTTTATTAGAAATATAGTTAGAATCCCAATCAATGGGATTTCCTTCCTATAAAATGTCCAATTGTTTCTTTTTCCTGTTTAGAAATTTGCTAAACTGGTACTTTGTTAAGTAGGAATGAGTTAATATAACGATTTTCTGAAACGAATGACAGCAAAAGAGAAGAAATCTGACTGTGCACTGAAAATTTGGCCAACATGTAGTTCAAGACAAATGTTTCCAATAATTACTAGACTCAACTCACTGAATTTGCTTTATTCTTTATTTATTCTGTTCCAAGGCCTCCAGGAAATAATACCTTCTATGTATAATGGGTCCAGAAGATTATTGGACCAACCACTCAGAGCTGATTTGCCCTAGAATAATATTGGGAGGTGGGAAGCAAGAAACCTCTAATCACTATAGGGCTCAAACATGGAGATGAGATCATTCCAGAAAACAATCTGAAATCAGATCTAATTAGGGCATTTTATTCCCCACTGCCATTTTACCAGTCTTTTGTCCTCCCAAATGAAAGCAATTGAAATCTCCTCAGCCTAATAAGCATGTCTTCTATAAGTGACTCACAGTTGCCACTTACAAAACCAATAGGAATAATTCACGTGGAGATAGCCAAAGGTTATCTAGGATGCTTGATAAAAAAAGACCAAGAGTGATTATGTTCATTGTAATGAACCATAATTCAGGGAATTAACACAAACCTATGTTCACATAGTAGACTCCAACATAAACTAATCCTACGAGCTACATTCTTCCAACATGCTAGGCTAAAATATGATTGACTGAATTGCAGTGCAAATTGTGCAAATATAGGCTATATGCAGATTTTCATCATGTTGCCGGCAAATTTCAAAATCACTTGTTCATTTGTAAGTGCCTCTGTGGACAAATTGGGAAACTGTTTCTCATGACATTTTTATCTGTAGTAGTGCTCCTTACTGAGGTCCCCAAATCCTCTTATTCAAATCATTCAAAAATTCTTGCTGAAAAAAATAAACCTAATCAGGTTTTTTTTTCAACATAAGTATTGCTTTACAACCTACATAGATTTTCAGTGAGATGACTTCAATTCTTTTAGTATGATTTATTACTATGCTTTTCTAATGTTTGGCTGCTAGCTATTTTATTGTCCATTTGTTTCTGTTTTTTGTTTTTTTACAGTTTACTTTGGAGGAAATAGATATAACTCTACCTAATCATTCAGTCTGGCTTGAAAAATACAAGTACGAAATACCTGTCTTTCATCTGAATGGGAAATTTTTAATGAAGCATCAAGTAGATATACAAAAACTAGAAAATCATCTTTTGAATTTAGAATTACAAGATGAAAGAAATAAATGAAGAAAAATGAAGATATTTAATTGCAAGCCATAAGGATTGCACTGATCATTTTTGTATTGCCTTCTGTAAAAAATCACCCTGCAAATTTTGTAATCAACTATCAGAGTTTTGTTTGATGTTTATTTGATGTTTATTTCATATTGACTATGTTCTTCACAGTAAAAACACATTTAGACTTTATGCTACCACTATACAACAGAATATAATTGTATTAATAAAATTGAAGCAGCATAAGGCTTGGCCCTAAAATAATTTATTTTATTTATTTATTTGATTTGTCAATCACTTACAAGGTAATAGATATAAGTATAAACATGAGTAAGAATACAGGAAATGGGTACGAATAAATGGGAACAATAGGACAGGGACGGTAGGCACGATGGTGCACTTATGCATAATTAAATAATTGAAACAACTTGAAATCAAGCAAGCTTACTGTCGATTTCATCTTCATTCTTATATTTATTGTTAAACATTATATAACTTTCGTTGGGTATCAGTTTGCATAGCTAACAATAATAATTTTATTCTTAGGCTAAAGTTGTATAGCAGCCTTTCCTTCTTAAATATGCTGGATTTCAAAACTTCCATTCTTCTCTTGGCTTGGAATTCAGGGCATCCGGAAGGTTTCAAATTGAGAGAGCTTGCCTATATTTTAAGGACAGCACAGTGATCCTCAATTTACAACCATTCGTTTAGTGACTGTTCAAATTTACAACAGCAACTGTTGTAAAAAAAACCTGACTTACAACTGTTTTTCACACTTACTAAATATTGCAGCATCCCTATGGTCCCATGATCAAAATTCGGAAACTTGGCAACTGGCTCGTATTTATGATGGGGGATGTGATCCCCTTGTGCAATCTTCTAACAAGTAAAGTCAATGGGGAAATCCAGATTCACTTAACCGTAGTGTTACTAATTGAACGGCAGGGATTCGCTTAACAATTGTGACAAGAGAGGTCGTAAAATGGGGCAAAGCTCACTTAACAAATGACTTACTTAGCAACATAAATTTTGGACTCGGTTGTGATCATAAGTTGAGGACTACGTGTCCGTGAGAACTGGTCACTCTTTGTGAGAATGCTTGCGTTCTTTCTGATGGCTCCTGGAAGCCAATCAAAAATTTCAAACGCTGTCCTAGTAGTAACAGCATTTGGACCAAAGTCCTTTTGGCTATATTGGAAAAAAGACAGATAGGTGGATTGTTGAAATAGATTATCTTCAGAGTCTTTTCCAGTTCTTTGATCTCTGTTTCCTCATAATTGATCTTTCATTAAGAGGCTTATTAGTTAATGATGCCTCATTAAATATACATAGAAGTGGATCCAAGAGGTAAAAGCCTACAGCAGTGTGCAATAGCCTCTGATGTGATTTGCTTTTACTCCCATGGAAATTTAATAGACACAACAAGCAGAGAGGTTATCATAATCAGTATAAGTGCACTTTATATAAAGCCTTGATGCTGTACATAGCAGTACTCAAACCGAGTCTCTGGCTAGCTTAAACTGATTGAAGGCTTTTTCTAATTTGTTCCAAAGAACTACTCAAGGAACCCTTGTTTTCCCAACAGCCTTGAGTATCTTTAGAAGGATATTAACACTAAAAATTAAATATTTCAGTAGGGGATTTAATTGTTGCCTTTTGGTAAAGATATTTGGCAATGACAAAATGTTGGTAAATGGAGATTAATATAACCCTTTTACTTTCCATTCTGTGCTCTTTAAATCTTTTCTTCCCCTTATTCATCCCAATGCTTTGATTATTATTTGTGTTATTTCATTACAACAGTTTAAATTAGTAAAGCGTAGTAAAGTTGTAAACTCATTCATCTTCGTAAGTGGTCTGTATTGTGAAATATCCTCTTTACAGCAGCTGAATGGAAAACTTAGACTGAGCTCAGCACAAAAAAGTGTGTAAGAAAAGAGTAGCTATGTCCTTAATGAATTCAGCTTTGGTTTAATGGAGCCTACCCTTTCTATGTATACAGCTGCAGTCTATGCATATACAATATGTATTGCCTAGCATATCAACTACTACTGCAGCTTTTAATCAGCTTTGAGTGCTTGCAATACAATCGGTGAATGACATCTTCAGAAGAGGAAACAGTCTTCCCAATCTTAACATAAAATTTAAGATTTGTTTGTTTATATACATGTAGTGCCTGTCCTCTCAAATGCCATTTCATTGAGAGTTCTGAATACTACAGAGTAAAAATTACAAATATGAGATTGGTATACAATTTAAATGTGTAATTAGTATTTATGTGTAGATGTGTGCAGAATCAAAATAAAATAGTAAATTTGGCAGGTGCAAACATACAAACATCCTTCCAGGTGATTCATTACACTTATTTTTACTATAGAATGTTAATCTCCAAGGTGTGATTGACTCATTAGGCTTAACATTAGCCAGAGGAAGACAATCCCACAGATGACAAAACACTGACATTTCTGAGTTCTCGGGTTGTGATTTTTATTCTATCAACTTTCAACAACTATGCTAAACAGTTGTCTCAACATTTGAAAGTAAAGATAGTTCCTTTTTACAAAGAAGGGAAAATATATGTATGGGTGTTCTTCCAAATAATTTCAACAGCAAAAAGCACTATTAGGAAGTTACATGGAATTCTTGAAATCTACCATATTCACTATTTTTTAAATTTTGTATCTGAATTGCACACAGTGTTGTCTGTCCTGAAAGTGCAGAAAGAAGCTGTGTGAAAGAAGCTTTTGTGCCATGGATGTGGTTGTGTGAGCTTATATTCACTTAAGGGTTCATTGCAACATAAATTTGACCAATTTTGCATGCAACTGTATTTCCTCAATGTCAGTTTCCTTAAATCAATGCAGACTGATACACAGAAACAGAACATACAGTAGCTGGACATATCACCTGCAGAATTACTGTAGCTTCAATGATTACACAGAAATTAGAACAAGAGAGAAACCAGAAAGTACATCAGTAGCTTGTTTTACATAATGGGTGAAGATATAAGCATTATCGAAGGACGATCCATTTGAAGAAAAAGCAAAACGAATTCTGCAATGGTAAGTTCTGTTTCATAAACTTGTTGGTGCTCTGAGATATGTGACATTTTTCTTGCACTTGGAAAAAGTTTTGATGAAGACTCCTATGGTGGAGGCTAATTTTAAGGACCAAAAAGTGCTTAATGAACAGAGTAAATAGGAAAAAAGTAAATACTTAAACCTAGGTAGCATTTTTGGCAATAGGTTGCCATTGCTGTCCCAAGGTGTGTGTATTTGGGTCTTATAGTTTAGTTTATTTATAGCCTTGGGATTTTGTACTGGTTTTATCCAAGATCCGACTTAACTTAGCTTTTTAAAAAATCAGCTAAAAGCCAACCATAATTAAGATACTGAGACCAATGAGGATCTGGAAGAAGTCATTTGACCTTAGCAAAGCAATCTGGAGCCATTACACCATAGTTCTTCAGAAATATATGGGAACTTCTCGTTTCCTTCCAGTCTTTATTTGCATTTTAAACCATTTCTTAAAATGCAGTTCAACTTGTATTTTTGTTTTAAACTACAGCAGATCCTTCTGCGTCCAGCTACTTTAGTGGCTTCACAGCCAAAAGTAAGACATAGGGATACAAAATAAAAACCGCAACAACATTCCTAATCAATACTTTAAAGCACTCAAATAATATAAGAAAGGGGGGGGAAACAAACTCAGGTGCACAAAGCAACACTTCGGCAGATGCAAAAAGTTCAAGAAACGACTCTCCTTTAGTGTGGAATAGCGATGCCACACTCAGTGCTCCGCCAAAGGCATATTTGCCCTTGCAGCCTGGGAAGCCGCGGCGAGAAACGGCAGCCTCCCAGCAAATGCAGCGAGCGGACGAAGCCTCCCCACCGCTCCCACCACGGCCCGATGACCTCTGTCCTATGCCATCTGCGCTTCCGCCCTCTGTCCACTAGGGGTCCCCTTCCTCCCAAAGGCCATCTGTCCTCCCGCTCTCCTAGCTCCCGCCCGCCCCTTGTCCAGTCCGATGCTCCCAGCCGGGCGAGCAGAAATCGGCGGCTGTCACTCTGCAGAGTCCGCCCCGCCCCCGCCCCTTCCCCGTCCCCCGGTCTTCCCGCTAGCCGCGCTCGCTAAGAGGTCAATGAATTGGCAGGGGCTGGGCGAGAGGGACGCCTCTGCGTGTTGGGATCCCTGTCCCTCCAGCCGGCTTGGGCGAATGATGCGGCTGCCCAAAGCCGGGAGGACGGCGGCTTGAGAGCGGGACCCTTCCCGAGGAATGACCAGGGGGTGTGCGAGCGCCGGAGGAGGGTGAGTCCCCGCATCAGGCCCCGGGGTTTCTCTCGCCTTTAGGCGATCGGTCTCTCTCGGTTGGACTGGAAGGCTCGGGCTTCAATTGCTCAGAGACCGGAGTTTGCACTGATGCCACCGCCAGATTTGGGGTTGTTAACTGTTCTTACAACTTACTCTCCATCTGCAATATTGTCAGTGGGCTCCGTGTAGTAATACTAATGGGGAAAGATTGCTATCCGGGGGAGGGGAGGTAACCCCGTTTACCTTCTGTCCCCTTGATTCTGTCATCTGACAGGCAAAAAATCAAAAACCGGCGTGGTTTCGTTTTTCTGGTAGGATCGTATCGAAATAGTAGACGGTGGGGAAAATAAATACAATTAGTTACAAGTGGGTCGGATCCAAAAGAGGAAAACTTTTTCTCCTCCTCAAAAAAAGTGACTTCTCTTTCCACTTTGCAATAATCATCATCCCAATAAAATTTAGGTGTCGATTCGGTGACTCCAAGGGGGAATATGTTAGGGGGGCTTAACTGGCGCTGTGAATGGCTTCTGACGGTAATTGGATAATTATCTTCCCTAAAGAAAAATGCGGATGTATAGAAAGCTTCTGAAACTGACAGATGCGATGGAAACCTTGTGTTCTAAATGCAAGTCTGTGCATTTTTATTACATAGTGAACCCACCTATATATTAAAAGCGGGCATGCCCTTGTGTATACAAATGTAACCCTTCCCATGGCAACAATTTAGTTGCAAAAACAAGCCGACAGAAGCTAAATAGCCTGAGCTAAAATGTCACCCCACCTTGATCTGTCTTTTCCTTCTGTCCTAGAATAGCAACTGTCAAGAATTGGGGGGGGGGGGGGGGGAGGCAGGAGGGGAGGAAGAAAGGAACTCTCCTTTATTTCTACAGCTTATTTTGTTCTTTCTTCCCTTTTGGAGAGTTGCATCTGAATCCCCCACCCCCACCCAATGTGCAAATGTTTTAAATGTTGACAGCAAATGTCAGTGCTAGCCCTTGTCAGATAGTATTTCTGCTATTCGCTTGCTTGCTTCTTTGTATGAGTGCATGTAAATGCCTCTGAAGAGATGAATGATATAGATGTAGTGTTCTTGTTTGCTTTCCTTTGTTTATGCCAAATGACGGGCCATAATGTGTGTAACAAGAATGCAGTTCCGAATGCCAAGTCTTGAACTTCCCCTGGGTTGGTAAGGGGTGGGGGGAGGGGAGAGATTGGCTACTGTGTGTGTACTATGTGTGTGTTCTCTTCTCCGGAATTGTGTACAAGTCTGAGTCTGCCTGTGTCCGTGAACTTTACGAGCATACCGTTCATTGTCGCTCAGTGCGGATTCCAGCCAGCTCCCTGGTTTACAGCCTGCAGTTTGCTACACTGCCCATCTGTTAAAACACACTTCAGCTACTGCTGACAAATCTAGGCAAATATAGCAAAAAAATGCAAGAGCCTGCTTCCTAATCGTAAACATTCATAACTGGAAATGGTACAGGACAGAATCCCATTGTCAACCGAACTTGATTCTAAGTAAAGGCACTTAGAACACCACCTTGGGAAGAGTGTTTTGGGGTTTTGTGTGCGTGTGTGTGTGTTATTTTAATATAAATCTGAAGGCTAACATCCTGCCAAATCAAGTTCCATTGTTGCCATTGTTTCCTGCCAAATTGATTTTAATGATAAGCTTCTGTGAGGGGTTGGTTTGCCTGGAATGTTTTGAGGCTGAGAGGCAATTAAGTGTTGCCTAATTAAAGGAAATGTTGCACAGCATTTCTCCATCAAATTTTAACTGATTAATGAAATGCTGCTGCTTGGGCATCCCTACCAAACTGGTAATCCAAATAGAGCTGAGTCTGAATCAGACAGAGCTTGCTTGTACTTGGGGGTTCATGAGAATTAAGAATGCAGGCGCTTGGTTGATGCCAAGCATTCTAGAATCAAAGAAACACGGGATAAGGGGTTTTCTGTCTTAAGAATACTGTTTCTCCATCAGAACCTTCAAAAAATTCTCGGTGACTTTTTAAATTGCCCCCATTGCAGTGGGGGAAAATTTTTCTGTGTTTTCAGGCTTTTTGTTTGCATCAGCCATTAGAAATGATGTCCCTGATAAGCAGGATGTTATTGTACATAGCAGCAATTTATTATGTAATACATTTGTATTTAAAATAAGTATGCTGCCCACATGAATTGTAAAAACATCAAGAGAGGGGGACAAAGGCAAGTTCAAAGCTTCTTTAAAGGACAGAAAGAATGCCTTAATAGAAGAACTTGGTAAATGCCTGTGACATCCTCACACTGTTCCTACTTGCCACTTTCTAGTACAGTAGTGTGCTTATAGCAAAACAGGTGCAGCAGAGTTATTTCTTGGAAGAATGATTATTTAATAATTAATTTTCCAGGAAATACATCTATTGTTTTTAAGTGCTATTGTAGTGAATAGTAGTTCCCTCCAATAGCCGGTGAAGTGCCTGCTGCGATAATGGAATTTGGTTAATTCAGCCTTAGCTGAAAAGCCTTTTGAGGAAAATTACAGCATCTGGAAAAGGTCTTGAGTAAGTACTCAGAGGATTGTGTAGTATGGTCATTAATTCAAAAATAACATACCTTAGTCTGAACTCTGGCTTTTGAATGCTCACCTCCAGAATAATTGCTTCAGCATTAAAAGGTTTTCTTTTCAGGTTTTTAAGTATGAGAAGCAACAAGAGAAAGTTCATTTATGCTCAGTTTGAGATTTTCCTTACTAATATAACATGCATACTTTGAGTATCGTTAAGATCTTAGTTTAATTAATTGCTACTATAATGGATGAGAGCCAGTTTGGTGTAGTGATTAAGGCATGAGGCTAGAAATCTGGAGACCATGAATTCTTGTCCCACAAATCCAGCTGGGTGATCTTTGGCCATTCTCCCTACCTCAGCCCTAGGAAGAAGGTAATGGCAAACCACTTCTGGGAAACCTTGCTAAGAAAACCAAAGAGACTTGTGCAGGCAGTCCCTAAGAATTAGATACACCTATTGTAGGAAAGTATCGAAGGAAAAAAAGTTATAATTGATGTCTATTTGCATAATTCTTTTATATTAATAGTAATTTTATTAAACACTACAATTAAAAAGATAACTAATTAGAAGCTAAAAATAAAAGAATAGCAAGAAAGAATAGAAAGTGCAGAAAGGAGAAATATATAAAGAAACTTTAAAAAGAAGGAACCATTGAGAAAAAATATAAAAGAAAGAAAAAATATATACAAAGAAATGACTTATCCCTTCATCCCAAGTATACACAATTTTAGCAATTTATCATTCTTTCTTAAAATACAGCTAATGATCTCTTCTTTCCGTATCTCATTTCTTACATATAAACAGATTCTTAAAGTGAATGAAGGCAAATATAAAAGTCCCAGGATAATGTTGCAGGATCCAATCTGGGTCAGTCACCAGGACCAGAGGTTTAGTTTTCTGAGCTTTTAGACTCGTGGTGGAGCCCATCCTGAGGGAACTTTCTCTAATGGAATGTATGCTTTCTATTCTATGTGTTGTGTAGTATTTATATGGTGCCTGATTGCATGTGGCTTTTTAAAAAAATTGTTGATTGGGGTGTTGATAGCCAACTTACTAAGTCGTTACCTGTTTCTTTTAGCTGCCAAGTCCTCAGGTCCTTGGTACCTGATAAGCTGGTGGTGAATCAGCACTTTGTTGATTGACAAGGGGCATGTTTCCCAGGCTTCAGTCATTTCCCTGGCTACTTTTGTACTTGCTCAGCTAACAATCTTAGTAGCTGCAAAATTGAATGTTTGTCCTTGTTGATTGGCAGTGTGATGCTACCAATACATTCAGGTCTCCTCATCTGACTTTAAAGCCTCTATTGTTCAGTCCTGTTCAGCAAAAAAAAAAATCCATTAAGAGTTAACAAAAATAGCAACAGATCTACTTTAACCTTGCTCAAATAAACACACTTTATATTTCTTTTCTTTTCTTTTTAACAATCTTAATCTAGTGTTTCTCAACCTTGACAACTTGAAGATGCATGGACTTCAACTCCCAGAATTATTCAGAGAGCATCAAGCTGCGGCATTCTGGAAGTTGAAACACTGCTTTAATTTCTTCAATATTATCATAGAATTTGATTTACTTTTTTCTTTATCTCTTACCACAGAATTCTTCAAAACAAATCTCTTTTGAAAGTCTAATATAGGAAACTTATCTGTCACTCTTTTGGTTTGTTATTTGTATATCCATTTCTATTATTAAAATTTCAGCTGGTTTCACGTGCATATCCACTGTAGCAAATTTTGGATATCATTTTTTCAGACTGTCATTTTAAAATCCATTTCCAGATCAGTCTGTTTTGTCTGTAAATCCTCTTCCATAATATATATTTTTTTAAAGATAGTCAGTCTATAATGGCGGAAACTCTTAAAATTAACTTCTGAGTCAGAAATATCCTTCACTTCCTTAAAAAAGGAAGTATGTGAACTTTAAAGGCACCAATCATGGTTTGAACAACATGACTATTTCCTCATCTCTCAGAGCTCTAAACCCACTGGAGACCACTCTCTTGCAGGAGGAGAAACAACTGCCTGGAACAATTGTGGGCAGTCTCAAGTCCTCCCCTTGTTTGGAGAAGGATTATGAACAGCAGGTCTTCTTGTTGGCTTTCATTCTGCTGCAACCATTTCTCATTTATTCCTGGAAATCCGCGAGTTTTGATGACAAGACTGATCCCTATATTAAACTAAATATGTGATGGAATTATTCCACATCCACATTTAGGTTCTTATGTGTAGTTGGATTTGAAGCTTATGATTTTTAGTACTTCTTATAATGATGTATGCAAAATTGCAAGTGACTTATGCAAAATGAGAATATTTTATGTCCTTTATAGCCCTGAATGTAGAACTTGAAGCCCTTTGAAATGCATAATTTTCCTGGATGACATCTTATGCTTTTGAAAGTGCCCTCTTCAATCTTGTCTTCTTTTTGCATCTGACCATGTCCTTAGAGTGACATTGT